GGGGGGGGGGGGGGGGGGGGGGGGGGGGGGGGGGGGGGGGGGGGGCAGAGAGGGAAAGGGAGAAAACGAGAGGAATGGACAAGAGAGAGAGAAATAGAGAGAGAAATAGAGAGATGGATGGCGAGTACAGAATGACGAAAACGTATACGGCCACGTGTAGCGCAGGCGCAAGTGTTCAACCGGCCCCGGACCCCCCCCCTCCGAAATGGACTAGGCAATGTTTCAAAAAAGGAGAACGCTCCATCCTTGACTACATAGTCGTAGAGAATGGGGGGAAAGAGACGGAAGTACGAGTATGCACAACGGATGTAGGCACTACAGACCATGCGTTGGTGTGGACAGCCCTACAACAGACGAGAGTCATAGAGAGTAGGCGACGCAGGAAAATGTACAGATGGAGAATGGATAAGCTAGAAGTAGAAGAAACGAGGGTAGAGTTCCAACAAGAGATGGCTGTAAACGACAAGAAACTCTCGGAGTTGATAGAGGCAATGGGCACACCGAAGGATGCCAAAGGTCGGGACCAGGCCGGATCTAGAATCATAGAAGGGTGGGAAAAGCTGGTAAACACAACGGCAAGTAGAGTTCTCGGTAGAAAGTTGATTGTAAGAGAGCAGTGAAGTGGTGGGACGAAGAAATCAAGCAAGCAATTCGAGTACGTGGAGAGTCACACGCAAAATATGCGGCAGGGAAAACCGATGCAGGATAGAAGGAGTACGTTGAAAATAGAAAGAGGGTGAAGGAGTTGGTGAAGAAGGAGAAAGCGTTGTGGGAGGAAGTAGTCCAAAAGACTCACGAAGATTTTGAGGGGGGGATGAAGCATATGTGGGTAGGATTTCAAGGGATAGTGTGCAAGAAAAGAGGCGGAGACACGGGAATAGCGACACTACGATCTGCCGAGGGTAAGATGGTAAGCACTTCTAAAGGAAAGCGGGAAGTACTTGTAGAGCACTACCGCAAACTTGGGACACCCACCACCAACGACAACTTCGACTCGGAGTTTGAGAAGGAAATCAACTCGTGGGCAGAGGAAAACGTTGAAAGATCTCGGAGGGAATGTAGTGATGTAGACGGGTTGCAGGGAGAGTTCACACGAGAAGAGGTGGAGGATTGTGTAGCGAAACTCAAGAATAGAAAAACGGCAGGGGCTGATGGAATTGTGAATGAGCTTTTGAAACAGGGGGGGGGGGGGATGATTGACATGTTGGTCCGTATATTCAACTGGATATGGAAACACGAGTACGCGCCGAAGAGATGGAGAGAAGGAGTAGTCGTGAACCTGTTCAAAAAGGGGGATAAAACTGACCCGGGGAATTATAGAGGGATAACCTTGCTGAGCACAGTGGGGAAACTCTTTGGCAAGATGATAAACAATAGAATGGGAGACATGTTGGGGGGGAAACAAAAGATCAGCGAAGGACAAGCTGGATTTAGACCAGATCGTAGTTGTGTAGACCATGTATATACGTTGAGTAAAATTATCCAAGGTAGGAAAGACGCCGGGCGTACGACATACTGTTTCTTCCTAGATGTACAAAAAGCCTACGACACCGTTTGGCGCAATGGATTGTGGAAAAAGATGTGGGACATAGGGATCCGGGGGAAAATGTGGAGGATGTTGAAAAAGATGACAGAATGCACAAGAAGTGCAGTGATGTTGGATGGGGAAATCTCGAAGTACGTGGATATACTCCAAGGAGTCGCACGCTGTACGATGTCACCCACTCTTCAAGATTTACATCAACGACTTGACAAGGGCGGTTGAAGCAGTAAGACAGGGAGTCCAAGTAGGGGGGAGGAGTGTGTCCGGACTGATGTTTGCAGATGATTTCGTGGGGGTATCCGAAACACCAGAAGGGTTGCAGGAACAAATAGATGCGGCAGTAGGATAAACCCGAAAATGGAGACTGTCGGCGAACGTAGGAAAATGCGCAGTAGTGGTCTGTAAAGAAGACAAGAAAAATCCCGTAGAATTCAAATGGAAATGGGGGGAGGAAGAACTACCGGTAGTAGACAGGTATACGTACCTGGGAGTAGAGATTTCGAAGGAGTGCTCGAGGGACGCACACATAGCAAAGTTGATTGGGAAGGGTCAAGCTCAGATAGGCAAGATGGACGAGATCCTTACGGACCCACACCTAGACACTAGGATTAAGAGGTGTGTTCTCTTGAATGTGATTGTACCTAAGCTAGAGTATGCAGGAGAGGTATGGGAAGGTAACGAAAAGGCCGTCAAGCAGCTGGAAACGGTGCAGATGGCAGCGGCCAAGAAAATACTAGGATGTTCAAGTACAACGAGAAACACTGTATTGAGAGCAGAACTGGGAATGTACTCTCTTAAAACAAAGAGAGACATGCAAAAGTTGAATTGGCAGTACAAGGTAAGTAGAATGTCGGACGATAGACTACCAGCCATCGTTAACAAGGCAGCTTGGGGAAAAGCGACTCCAGGGAAGAAAGGAATCAGATGGGACAAGGTGGTAGAGAGGGTTTGGAAGGAGATAGGAGACGAGGAGGAGACATTGGACACGGAAGGGTTTGGGGGGTTCAAGAAGAAAGTCAAGGAGATGCTAGAAAGTAGGGAGGAGGCAACCCTTCGGAAAAAGGTACGAAGCGAAGACCACTTGGAGATATACGGGAGTTGAGAGAAGGGATAGGGATGAAGAGTTACTTGGACGGCCCCATGGACTACGCAAAAAAACTGAAGTTGCAATTTCGAGTAGGCGATCTGGACTTGCCAGAACGGAGGAAGAGGTACAGCAGCCGTAGGAGAGAGGAAGAGGAGGATAGACAGACATGTCCATGTGGCAAATCGGAGGAGAGTAGACCCCACATAGTTGGGGAGTGTGAGCTGTACAGGAAGGAAAGAGAGGATCTCGAGGAGGACATGAGACAGAGAGGGTGTGACATGGACAAGTTTGGTAAATTNTAGGTACAGCAGCCGTAGGAGAGAAGAAGAGGAGGATAGACAGACATGTCCATGTGGCAAATCGGAGGAGAGTAGACCCCACATAGTTGGGGAGTGTGAACTGTACAGGAAGGAAAGAGAGGATCTCGAGGAGGACATGAGACAGAGAGGGTGTGACATGGACAAGTTTGGTAAATTAGACAACAGCGAAAAAACGATCGCGGTAATTGGGGATAGATGGTGGGCACAAGAGGCCGTAGAGGACGGGGATAAGATGTGCAAGAAATTTTTATGTAGTTTGTGGCAGAAACGTAAAGAGCTCCCAAATGTTGGTGGTGTCCCTAGTAGGGGTAGGAACGGTGCTCCGTCTCGAAAGGGACGCGTGGTCCATGGTCAAATGACTACGGCAAGCAACAAATGAGTACGCCCCCCCCTCCCCCCCCCAACACACACACACCTCACCGGCCGTTCGCCTGCTCCTGTTCATATCCTTCGTCCAGCAGCTGCCCCACCATGCAGGTGCCACTGAGCGCGTTGTCCGAAGGGTATGCGTCGTACAGCTTCCGGAAGAGGCCTGTCGCACCAACGCCCCCGTGGTCGGCAGACAGGCTGGGAGACACCACCTGGACAAAAACAAGAACGCGGTACGGGCCACCCCCCCCAAAAGAAAGAAACGGATGCGGGATGGAAAAAAAGGTGCACCCGGAATAGGACGTCGACAACAAAAACCCACAGCCGTGGGGGCAACAGCAGCGGTGGCGGCCTTAGCAACGAGCGGGCGCATGTATTTTCAATGTTGTCAACCCTCATAATAATGCACCACCATGTGTCGCCCTGGTTTCACTCTGCCTTGAAGGACTGACGACCGTCCTGGTCATTGAAGCTGACCAGGAGGGAAAGGTGCCACCCCAGCTATTGGCGGGTACGGGCACAACGGAGAAAACACGTAAAAAGAGGATGAAAGCGCGGAGCATACAACATGCGACATTTCGAGCGTTTGTGTTCGATCACCTCAGTGACGTTGCAGTCCCAACTCTCGGCGTACCCTTCCCAGCACCGCGGTTGGGTGAAAGGTCCGCGAGCTCCGTGTCTGATCATTGCGTGCACCTTGCGTTCGGTGCATGCAGCAGCAGCAACAAGGACGGAAGGAAGGTTAGTTACAGCCGATTGCCGGTGGCTGCTGCTTTTGAAGCTCAGGCGGGGTGATATTTCGTAGAGGGGCACAGGAAGGCTCGTCCCGACAAGATGAGAGCTTTCGGCAGAGGAGAGGTTCACACAACACACACGCTCTCCGGTGCAGCTTTCGGGACACAGACGTGAACTACGTAGGCACCCGCGTTTCTCATCTCCTGCAGTGGTGGAAGCTGGTGCGACAGGCAGCAGCATCCTTCCTTTTATAATCTCAAAAACGAGGTGGCTGTTTGCAACCATTGGATTCTCACACAGAAGGCGATTAGCGGACACCCGTGAAGAACGGCGGGCTGCAGGGCCTCAGCGAACTACATAGGCGCGCTTGAAGACCACCGGTAGAACGATGTAGAGGTGTCTGGTAATTAGCAGCACTGGTAATTATCAAAACCCTGATCGTCCCGCCTTGCGCCAACACGAGGGACGTGGGGCCGGCCGTGCAGCAGCACAGCTAGCACATTACTCTCTCTCTCCTTCGGCGTTTCCAGCAGCCCAGTCTGTATGGTGACGAACTTGCTACGTACTTGATCTACCAAGTTAACCCACCAGAGGACAAGATATGAAAAAAGGTGACCATTTGATCACGGAGAAGATTCTTTACAAATCAATTCTTCTTCTTGCTGCAGATGCTGCAGGACTCCACAACACAACGACCGTGCGTAAACCCACACCAATCGGCCGCGCAGCAGGATGCCCAGGGTGCTTAACAGTATTGCACGCGACTTGCAATACACAGCGCTTCCCTTTTTGTTCGTGTGTGCAGGCGTGCCTCCACAGTTTCACACTGCACAGTTTCACACTGCATGTATTGCGCAACTGGTTGCAAAGTCAAGTTGGCCGAGGCGAAATTGGTTACTTCGTTATTTCCGCTTCGTATCGACAATTCAGCCACAGCGCTAGCACTCTCTACTCTTGCCCTCTCCCTCGCTCCTTGCAGAGTTTGTCACCAAGGGTACAGCAGTATCGCTGTTGCTGCCTTCGCTAGGGAACAATCAATCACTGCTACTCTCCGCCTCCCCCCCTTCTCCCCTCCCCGGGGGAGGCCAAGGCCCGCAAGTGCAGTTAACCCTCGAACAAACACCCAACAACGACGGATATACGGTCCCTAGCACCGTTTTGGAGAGGATCCTGAGTTTGGCGGTCGGGAGTTACCGCGGTCACGAGGTCGAGGTAGATCGCGACAAGCCAACTTGGAGACAGCTGCCACTGGGTTTGAACCCAAATGCCCCGGTTTGGACGCCGGGGCAAGGCAGCAGTGGAGAGCACGGAGAGGGTGGCGGGATGATCGCACACCGCGTGGGTAGGCACCCAACAGGGGGACGGAAAGGGTCCAGAGCTGGAGAGCCACGCCGCTCCGGGACAGCAAGGCACCTCGCTGGGAAAGGCAAGCACCGGGTTAACTCTTACATTAACCCGAGGATCCGCAGGGCAATCAGAAAAAAACAAATAAAAAAAAAAGGAAGAAGAGGAGGATGGGCCGGAAGGTGCGTAGGCTGATTAGGGATGCAGCACGCACCACGGGAGAGGCGGCACGGTCGACTTGTTAGGGTAGCAACCTACAATGTGCGTACACTGGCCGTGAACGGGGCCAACGGCTATGGGAGAGCCGACAGCGTCTTACACGAGGCAGCGAAACAGGACATTTCGTTTGTCGGTCTGCAGGAGGTCAGGAGACCAGGGCGAACGGAGTTCGCAGCATCCGGTTTTCGGGTGTTCACCTGTGGCACGGACAAGGGTGGTACGCATGGCGTCGGAATCGCTGTGGAGGAGACGCTGTGCAAGTCCTCCCAGTACACCACGGAGTACGTGGACGAGCGCCTCATGGCTATGAGGTTTGAGATGATGGGCCACCGCGGAGCGGTGACCTTCGTGGCTGCGTATGCCCCAACAGACGTGGCCACCACCGAGAGCAAACACATGTTCTGGGAAAAACTTGACAGTCTCGTGCGTCGTATCCCCGCTAAGGAGTATCTTTTCGTGCTCATGGATGCCAATGCCCAGACCGGAGGAGGGATAGCAGGGGAAAACGAAGGAACCATGGGCGAGTACGGGCGCAATGAGCTGAACGAAAATGGTGAGCTGCTGCTGACTTTCGCCACGGACAACAGATTAGCGGTCCTCAACACCTTCTTCGACACACGGAGGAGCGGGATATGGCATACGTTCAACGGCCCGTCGGGACGTGAACGTAGGTGCCTCGATTACATCCTGACGCGCCAAGCACACCGCGGCCGAGTGTCCAACATGGAGGTCGTACCTCAGCCAGTGCGCCCAGTCAGAGCGGACTCAGACCACAACATCGTAGTAGCCACCGTCGACCTCGGTGGCCGGCTGGCCCACAACCGACCTATCCGGACCAACCCCAAACGGCGGCAGTTCAACCGACAAGATCTGCAGGTCGAGGCAGCGCGATGGGCTGTATCCCAACGGTTTCTCTGCAACCTGCTCGCGAGGTCGGGCGCGCCGGCGACCACCACGCAGGAAATGGCGAAGGAGTTCACGGAGGCCCTGCTCGGCGCGGCGGAGACGGAGCTGTCTGAGGAACCCCGGAGGCGGCGCACCACGGAATGGAACATGACCACCGCGGCACGGACAGCCCTGGCGACCGCCCTTGACAAGCGACGGGCTGCGCGACATTCCTTCAAGGCCGGACCGAACGCAGCAACGTGGAGGATCCTCAAAGCAACGTGCAAGGGGGTGAAGGCAACAATCGCAACGAGCATCTACGACCACCTGGAAAGATACGTGACGGAGCTCGAAGCGATCTACCAGGACCGCGACATGCGGGGGCTGTACCAACACCTCAAGCGGTCAACGGGCCTCAGCGGGAGACAAGCTGGGGGGCAGCAGTTCGTTACAGACGAGAACGGCGTGCTACTCCGGAACAAGGATGCCATCCTCAAGCGGTGGCGGAGATTCTTCAATACCCTCCTGAACTCCAAGTCCCCCACTCTGAACCCAGACGTTGTCGAACAGGTGATGCAGCGACCAGCGACGCGCGCCACCCGACACCTGGCGGCGGTACCAGACCTCGAGGAGGTTGAGGCGGCGACGAAAGGCCTGGGGAACTGGAAGGCGGTTGGTCCCGACCTCCTTGCCGCCGAACTGCTCAAGGTCGACGGCGACGACGAGCCAGTTGTACTGGAGCGCCTCCGTGCCATCTTCGTCGAAGTGTGGAATGGGGGAGAGATGCCGCAGGAGTGGAAGGATGCCATCATTAAGGTGCTGTACAAGAAGGGTGACCGTTCGAACTGCAACAACTACAGGGGCATCTCGCTGCTCTCGCATGTAGGCAAAGTACTCGCCAAGACCATCACCAACCGCCTGAGCGCATTCTGCGAAGCCAACGAAATCCTCCCGGAGGAACAGTGCGGGTTCCGGCCTGGCCGATCCACGGTATGCATGCTGTTCGTTGTGCGCCGACTCCAGGAGCTGGGGCGGAGGAGGAGAATCCCGCTCTACATGTGCTTCATCGATCTGCAGAAGGCATATGACTCGGTGGACCGGGAGCTACTGTGGAAGGTGCTGGCCCGGGCCGGGATCCCCGGGGAGATGATCGCCGTCATCCGCAAGTTCCACGTCGGAATGCGGGCCCGGGTCCGCACGGACGATGGGGAGCTATCGGACTGGTTCCCGGTCACGCAGGGATTACGACAAGGGTGCTCAATGTCCCCACTGCTGTTCAACGTCTTCTTCGCAGCGCCTCTCGAGATCATTGTCACACGGTTCAGCCAAGATGAGGTTATCGTGCGGGACCTAGTGTACTTGAAGGAGGAGGAACGGAGGGGGGGGGGATTGCTGGACCGAGTCCGGAGGGCGGTGTGGGGGATGCTATATGCCGACGATGCCGGCGTTGTGTCGAAGTCCGCCGACGGCCTGGCGAGGATGATGACCATTATCGTGGAGGTGTTCCGGGAGTTCGGGCTGACGGTGTCGGAGAGGAAGACGGAGACCCTGGTGATGCGGGTGAAGGAGAGACAGCGACCGCCGCCGCCGCCACCGCCGGTGCTGACCATCGAAGCAGCGGGGCAAAGGTACGCACAGACGACCGAGTTCCGATACCTGGGCGGCCTCGTCAACGAGCAGGGCGACCTTACCCGAGAGATCAACCACAGGAGCAAAGCAGCGTGGGCGTGCATTAAGCGATACGCCACGGAGCTCTTCGACCGACCGGGAGCACCGTTTCGCCTCAAAGCCCGCCTGCTCCAGGCGGAGGCAGTGGAGGCACTGCTATACGGCTGCATGACATGGTCCCCACGCCGCAACCACTACGGAATGCTGCAGACGACACACCACCGGCTACTCCTGCGAGTCATCGGCTACCGGCGCAAACGAGGCACCTACCGGCAGCTGTCATACGCCCAGGCGCTAAAGAGGGTCGGCTGCCAGAGCGTGGAGGCCACTGTCCGTCAACGGCGCCTGCTCTTTGCGGGGGCCGTGGCAAGACAGCCGGACGGGCGGCTTCCGAAACGGCTGATGTTCGGCGAGTTGGTGGGAGGGGAGGACCCGGGCCGGGGAAACCCGGAGCAGAACTGGCTGACATGCCTGAAGGACGACATGAAGATGTTCGAAGCCAGGTACGGCTCCACGACCGACAAGCCGAGCGTCTTCGGAGTCCCGAAGTTAGTCTGGAGTGAGGCGGCGAAGGTGGAGGGGGGGGTACCGTGGCACGCGGGGGTGCTACAGGGAGCTGAGAGGTTCATGGCCTCTTGGCACAAGGGCAAGGAGGAGGCCAGCCGACAACGAGCCATCAAACGAGGAGACAGCGGGCCCAAAAATAGTCTAGATACGGCACCAATCAACGGGGCGGTAGGGGGGCGGAAGGAAACGGCGCGGCGGGAAGAAAGCAAGCGAGAAGAGACCGACCGCGTGACGTGACATGTTGCGGTCGAATTTCAACGACTAATTTTTCTGTTGCCCTCTCCCCCGTTTGCTGTCGCGTTCAGACTGTCTCTAGGGATATCCCTGTCTCTGTGCGAGTTTGTTTATGTCCTCGTCTGTCTTTGGTTTATTTCGTTGTATTTTGTTTTGTTTTTTTACTGGCACGTACTGCTGACCCTTGGGGTCCTTCCGGAAGGCTACCCGTCAGGCTGGTGGTGCGCACGTTCCACTATTTATTTATTTATTTGTTTCTGATTCTTTTGTTTTCTTGTATTTTATCGCTCTTTTTCTTGTATTTTATCGCTCTGCTGACCCTTGGGGTCCATTTTATTTTGGTATACCTTTTCTAGGTACGTTAGCCTGTGACCACGGAAATTGACAGAGTCAAGTGCTGGATTAGTACGGAGAGATTGAGACAGAAGGAGGTTCTGGATAGAGAGACCGGGATGGTTTTTAATGTGAAGACAACAACAACAACAACCCGTGAGATGCACGTCCCAGGTATATCTAGCGCAGCAGCACTTTTCATACTTTCGCATTGCCCTTCGATTTCTCGCTGTGGCAGGACAGGGGCAGGAGGGGAACCGACAAGCGCTTTACCTGTAGTAGCTCGACATCATCCAGCGACACACCGCCACCGAACGAAGCTTGGACGCTTTCGTCCAGGGATGGAATTGAATTCAGGTCCATGTCCTTGGCGCAATATCCCGGATATGATGATAGCACCGCAGCATAGGCGCCGCCGCCACCGTGTCGCCATTGAGCCGAAATAGCCCCAATAAGAAGGGATACCACTTTCCACGAAAGCACCATGACGCTTGCAGTGGCTGTGTTGCTGTGAGCGCGGTGCTGTACTTTGCAGTGCTTTGCATCGCATCGGTGGCGGCACCGTACCCCCCCGGACAATATGACGGGATCCCCTGTTTCTCATCCTGTTTGCGGTCCCCCTCGCCGGGGAACACATTTCTCCGCCCGGATCGGAGATGGGCAGTGAGTGCACAAGGTGGAACATTGGCATTGCTGCTGGGGTAGTATTTCCCGTGATATATCACATCCTCCAGCAGGGCGCGGTGTCATCCCGCAGAGCGGTACCGACCCTGGAGAAAACGGGTGTGTGACCCAAGAAGCTCGCTTTCGTTGTGGGCGCACGCGCTCTAAAGCAGGTCCATCGGTCAGTCCCCTACCTGCTGTCTGTGGGACTGCGCGAGAGGGGCAGTGCGCAAGAGAATCCCTGCGGCCGCTGCTGGCATTGGATCGTCGCGACTCCCGACGGCTGGGGTAGCCTTACTGCAGCAGGCGTTCTCCGCTTCTGGCTCGGCTACCAGCCGAAAGATTCGGCCGGGCAAGGCTCGACTTCTCGCGAGGGAACATGGTGCGGCGACGGAGCTCGCGGGGGGGCTTGCTTCCGGCGGGGGGGGGAGCATGGCGAGTAGGGGCGTTGTGGTGCGTGTACGGCTTGCTGCTCTTGGGGAGATCTGTGGAGGCGAACGATATCAACCATAAGGTGGGGAGAAACTGCTGAATCTACATGCGTGGTGGGGGTAGAAGCAGAAGATGCCCGTGTGCGCCCACGGCATGAGGCCACGCTGCCGTTCGGGGTAGGCCTCTTTTTACGGGCAGTCGTGTTTCGCTTACATGTAATGTATGCATATCTAGACGTTGGATGCACTCAAGACGTTGCTGCCTACGCCTGAGCAGTGCATCACGCATAGGGGACACCGTACGATTAAGCGCAAAGAGTCAGTTAGCTGGGCAATCTCATGCAAGCATGTATCGGGAAGTGATATCCCACTACATAGCAAGAAAAGAGTGTTGATCCGAGTGAATCCATAATTCTACTCTACAGCAGTATCAAAAGTACTACCGCTGCAGTCGGCAACAGGGGTTCACCTCGCATCATCGCGAAGGTGGGTCTCTTGTAAATACGTGCACGTCTTACTCTCCTCTAGTGGTAGAGATGTTTCCGCGATAGTTCGGTGCCACAATGAGGCATGTTGCACTCTCTACAACGTTATATAAGAACCATTGGTCGACATCAATGAATGTTGCCAAGCTCTTCAGCAGACTGCTGTTACGCTGCTGCTGTGTCGACTACCATGATGTCGAGGAAAACAGAAAAAAAATACTCCAGTAAGACCGGTCAGAATATCAAAGAAATTGCGCGGGCGCGGTGTCGTAGGATTTTAGCTCTAGGGAATGGGACAATGCCTCATCCTCATCGACAGCTCCGTGGGTGATACCCCCGTCTAGGAATGAATATTGTCCGTTTGCCCACAAATTCACACGATTTTCCCCTGCACAGAGGTGCACTTTTCTCGGGGTGGGGGTATTTTTTCCGAAATCTGAAAATACCGCGTAAATTGTCGTTTCAAGGCGCATGTTCGTAAAGGGAGTTTTTTTTTTTTTCGTCCTTCGCTCGATATGTTTAAGTATTCAAGAAATCTTGCTTAGTTTCTGGAGGGCGGTGTTTTTTGCAGACACAAAATGTGAGACCGGATTTGGACAGCTCTCGTGATTTGCCACCGACGATTTTTTTCCGATTTCCAATTTGACAAAAATTAACGAAGTTATGGGCAAAAAAAACGATTTTGGAGGGTATTTCGCTTAGATTCTTGCAGACAATTCACCCATACGATTCAAAAATAAACTGCGGCAATCGATTCCTCTCGTGATTTGCCACCGACGTTTTTTTTCCGATTTTCAAACAAAAATCGGGTTTCGGAGATATTTCGGGTGGTTTCACACGCCCTCGGGGAATTTTCTCCCGCCACACACACACACCAGAGGCACACACACACACACACCCTTCACGCACGCTACGAAAGGCGCACACGCGCTCCGGGCACATGGGTCGCCCAAGAAAGGGAAAGCGCAAGCGGGCAAGGAACGCCGACGGCACGATTCGGAAGGCCCCTTCCCCCCCTGCGGACCCTGCTGTGGGCAATGTACATATGATTTATGTGTTGCGGTGTGTTGTACTGTTGGTTTCTCGCGTTTAGGCGCGGTAGAGGCGTTCGTCATGGTGACCAACTCAACGCTTTGGTTGTCTCTCTTGGTGTCGGACTTGGTTAGAGAGAACGGACGTGCTGATTGCTGCATGCTTTGGATGACAGCAGCTTGACCAGGCAAGGGTTGGGTAGAGATTTAGGGCGGTATTGTATGTAACGTGTAAATAATGTAGATATGGATTGACAACGGCTTAACTGATGTTATGAAGGAAAATACCTTCAACAGGGAGGGGTTTGGGGGGGTTCGTGGTGTACTTTGGGGGCTCCGTGGGGTCATGAGGGGGGGTGGGGTTCCGTGGGTCACTTTGGTCAAAACTGTCGCATTTCACCCAATCACCAAAAACTCATCGGGTATGGACGAAGCTCGACGCCGCGGTCACAGCCAAAGTTGTTTCACTTTCCAAATCGTTTTTTTCGAAAGTTATCGCGAAAAACAAGATTGTGACTATTTGCCCGAACGGACCATTTGCTTCCGCAGCAGTCGGCCTGTTGTTGCACGATAAAAAAATTACCAGATTTTTAGTTTTGACAGTAGACGGCTTGGTTGTAGTTGATATATTATTCCGAAAGCACAGCTCCGCCAATAATAACAGCTTGTCGTTGTGTTGACATTAAAACCCGTTTCGCTGGAGGAAAAAACCAAAGAACAATGGTATGATACGCATTCAACGCTCGTCCTGTGCACCATGCAAGTACGCTCCTATTTATTAAGTCGGCGGAAGCCCCCACCCCGGGCCACGGGGAGCATATGTCGTATGTTGCTTGTTGTCCGGTTCGTAGGACTAACTAACGTCAGTCAAGGGTTACAACGCATGTGCATGTGTAGCCAACTGGTACACGTATAGTAGGCGGTTGATGTGGACAAAGAGAGCACACACGGCGCGAACATTTACAGCAGTCCGCGGGCGCCCCCCCTGTCGGAGGAAAACATGTGAACTAGGAAGGCGTTACTCGTGTGTTATCCCACGAACGGACGAGGAAGGTATCCTCGTTGGTGAACCGTTTGGCGCAACCGATGCCACGTGCAGAAAACTACACAGATGCACAGGCCGAAGCCTTTGGGGTCACGAGTCTATCTTGCTAGAAACACCCTCCGCTCGTTTCAGTAGTAGCATTCGCAGGGTTTATCTACGTATGAAGTATACATGTTTGGACAAAGCATGCAAACGGGGAAGTTGGGATATGGTTAGGGATAAGGTCTGCGTACCACCTCCCTGTTCTATTTCCTCATTATCTTAATTTCAAGCGAAGGCGGTCCGCTCATTTTCCGTGATGACGAGGCCCAGTGCCACTGCCGGGCTTTGCAGCCACCCTCTCTTCCTCTTCGTCGTTGTTACAATAGGTAGACGGGGAGGGGGGAGCAGGGAAGGTTCACGCCCGCGTGTTAGAGCCTTTATTCTGACATGCCACCAAACATTTACGCTATACGATAATTGTACTGCTCTTTGTACCTGTTGTATTATTTTTTTTGTTGGTATCCCTCTGTCGTGTTTCATTAGAGCTACTTTGGGCACCTGGATTATATCAATTGGAATCCAAACGATAGGTTTTCTGAACCGTGCCCTCCCTCCCAAAGCAACTGTCTTCAGTTCGTACCCCCGCCCTTACAACAGGCGAGCGAGCTTTTGACCGTTGCGATCCACGAAATTGACGTGCCCTCCCCCCCCGCTGTTTGCCCCTACCCCAGTACCACGATGGCGAGAGCGTGATCGTGTGGGTCAACACGGTGGGGCCATGGTACAACCCGCAGGAGTCGTACCCTTACTACCACCTCCCGTTCTGTGTCCCGGACCTGGTGGAAGGCACCAAGCAAAAAAGGCCTTCCGGCCTTGGGGAACTCCTCGCCGGAAACGAGCTGCGCAACAGTGGCATGGACGTCAAATTCAAGGGTACGTGTGGCGGTGTTTGTTGGACGCATCCGAACCTTGGAGCATGTTCTCTCGGGTTATTGCGGTGTAGATGATGGATTGGTGGATGGAAGGCGATGCGGACGGTCCGCGGGGAGTGGGCTGCAACTTAGCAGCGCCAGTGGCATGGGCGAGCAAATTTGTGAATACCTCAGGAACGAAGGTGGAGAGAGTCATGTACATATCCGAAGCAGCATCCAACGGCGCATATTATCAAAAGCCCCAAAAGACGTGCTCACAGTTGTTGCGGGTTAGATTGTGTTATCGTCGTGCTCTGCCCGTGCTCCTGCGTCCGAGGAAGCCTCGCCCTGGTTCCTTCCTCCACTCTCTAAATCTCTAAATCGCTGAATAGGGGTGAACGACGACCGATTGACCATTGCTGTGCCTTCCTTGCGATGCTGTGCCGTGGCACCTTTGTGGGGGGCGCAGTGCCGCAACGAAAAAATCTCTGGGAGAATTAGTGAAACATGTTCCAAACAACCGCTGCTGTTGCTGTTGTACCCTAGGTCGAAGACGCGTGGCAGCGCGTCACAGGTATAGGGATATAAAGGTATGTGATCCCCCCGACTCCCTCTCTCCCTTTATTCTCGGCCACTTGCGCAGTCCCTCTTCCGAAGACGGCGCTGTGCACCCAGTTATTGGACCAAACCTCGGCTGCACAGTTCCGGAATGCGGTGAGTGCATGTGGGACCACCCAGCAAAACCTTACGCTTAAACATTAGTGTCTCGAGAGCGACAACAACTGCTTGTCTCGATAGTGGCGATCGGAGGGGTTTGTGCGTATGCAGGTGGGGAAACAGCGAAGACAATGTTTTGGCATCGTTACGCGTTTGGATGAGCGGAAGCGCGCGGCCGTTCATTGCCCCCGAGAAACGTCTCTTGATTTTCATACCTTTTCTTTGAGGTCGTGATCTACGTCAGCGGAAATTGTGGCTGGCAGGAGTTTATGTGGCCTCGGGGGTGGTGGAGTGTCTCTTGTGTTGGTCGGCGAGAGGGAACCTGTGGTCGCACCATGTGATGTGTTGTCCGAAGTACGGTGTCCGCAGTGTCATTTCCTTGAAGGAGAGTTGCACCCCATCATGACAACCACAAGTCAGTCCGCCTGCACACAAAAGAAAGGTAGGTTGCGACCGTAGGAGGTCTCGTTTGTCACGTGGACGATCAAGTGTCGTTTCACATGTGATAGGCAGAGGCGGAGACGCCTGCGTTTTCACGCGGGACACTGCTGCAAGCAACGAAAGAGTTACCCTAGATAATACTGTCCAACCACTATCCTTTATTGCCACTACGTATGTCAAACGTGACATTATTGCCACTTTGTCCAAGAGTGACACTGCCCTGAAGTGTGGCATGTTTTGCTCTGGCCCCTACATGCCACTACATCGGGATCACTTCTGTATTTTCAACCTCCCTCGAGTCGCCTGCACGCCCTTTCGCCATCAAGCAACCTATGTGATTTGATTTCCAACGATCTTGTTACCGCTACCTACAGCTCGAATTCCAACCAACAGCCGTTTTCCTTGCTCGCGTTTCAACACAAACCGCCCCGAAGCCGAGAATTCTTACTCTACTCTACTTGTGTCATGCGCTTGTGCACACGCGCACTGCAAATACCACAGGTGGAGCAGGAGTACTGGGCGAACATCTACATAGACGACCTTCCAATCGACGGTCCCGTGGGGAGCAAGGAGGAGCTCGACATCTACGTCAACCAGAGGTGGGAGGAGAGTTACCATGTCACGGGAGAATTGGGGAGAAGTGTCGTTAGAGATTCATGTGCACACCTTTTCGAGATGTTGGTCATACTTGTCATGTCCGACCTCTGGACGTTGTTGTTAGTAGCAAGCCAGCTGCTTGTAGCCGCTGATTATTTCCTTGACCAACTTGATTTTCTTTGAGCGAATTGGGATCCACCTGGCAAAGAAGTTGGTTCGGTCAGATACCGCAGGCACGCTTGGGAGGTCTGTCTTGCACTACGAGAAGTCAAGGGTTCGTTGATTATGGTGCCGTGTACTATAATGCGTCTTAGATGTAGGGCTTGTTTTTTCAATCATGCTGTCTGTGGGGTTGTTTACTGCTCTGGTCAGGTACACGATTCTGTACAACGGCAATCGAATCATCCGAGTGCTGTTCGAGCCAGACACAGCCGTGGCCATCGCTGCTGGGACCGCGCTAGACTTCACCTACGAGGTACTGTACGAAAAGGGGGTTTCGTGTATCACGCGTAGGGAGCATACGCGGGGGGGGGGGGGGGGGGTTTT